GGGGTCAGATGAGTGAAGTCTACTTGCCTGCCAGTGCCTGGGAAGAGCCCTCTAGCTTGCTGAAGGGTGGGGCAGGACTGTCCTTATTATCTGGATTGGATCACTGAAAGACCTGGAAAGAGATCGTGAGTTCCTGCAAGAACTGTTCGTTTTGTGGGGTTACTTAGAATTGTGTGTTTAGGAAAGAAAGGAGAGAGGTGTCATCTGGGTGGGAAAGGGAGTGAAGGCAGGAAAGAATATTGGATATGAGAGGAGGTTCTGTGACTGTGCTCTTTGTGGGGCCAGGGTTGGACAGATGTTGGGGACTAGGGCAGCTCTTAGCACTCTCCGTAGCCAGGTGATTAGCCTCATCAGTGTTTTCCATCCTTTTGCTGCCCTGCATAGTGAATAACAGCTTCCCTGGTTCGTAATTAGGCAGCTTCCAACAAGTCATGAGTAAGCTGACCATTCATTATGGGGGTTCCCATCCGGGTGAGAAAACTTCTTTTTCTCCATATTAGAATGTTGGAATGCAGAATGTTGTAGGCATATTTTGAGTCCGTATAAATGTTTACAGACTGTCCATTGGTGAGCCTAAGGACCTGGGTAAGGGCTATAAACTCAGCCTGTTGGAAGGAGGTGTGTGGCGGCAGGGACATGATATTTATGACCTTATAGGATGGGAGCACCCCTCCAGGGTGGCATAGCCCCAGCATATGTTGGTGCCTTTTGTGAGCTCCTGTGAACCAGTCTGGTGCCTCCAGGATGTGAATGTCAGTTATGTGACAAAAAGGGTTGAGGGCAAGGCAGAGCATTTCAGAGCAGGAGTGAACCAGAACAGAGGCGTCTATTGGGAAATAGAAGATGAGGGAGACGAGGGTGGCTGGGTTGAGAGTGGAGCAGGTCAGGAAATTGAGGCTGAGGTTGAGAAGCTGTGCATGCAGGAACCATGTTCAGGTGGGGGTAGGATAAGGAGTGCATGATGGCTTAGAAAGTCCTTTAGGGAGTGGGGAGAGAGAATCAGGAGTGGGCTGTGTAAGGTTAGTTTAATTGCCTCCAGAATTAGAAGGGCTACAGCCACCACTGCCCGAAGGCAAGGGGACCAGCCCCAGTATACTGAGTTCAGCTGTTTAGAGAGAAGCAATGCAGTGAAAAGTCTCACCAGTCTCTGGCAAAGGAGAGCCAAAGCCTGTCTCTAGTCAGAACAAAGGAAAAGGAAAAATAGCTTAAGAGGGTTGGGGAGGCAGAGAATGGAGGCCTTGGTTAGGGGTTTGAAGGCTCTTATTGAGGTATCGGGAGAAGAGGAAGCTAGGAGGGATTCATCTAAGGAGCCCTTAGTTGCATCATGCAAGGGTGGGGCATATAGTGAAAAGTTGGGAATCCAACGGAAGAACCCAAAGAGGCCTGAGAGAGAGAGAGAGAGAGAGAGAGAGAGAGAGAGAGAGATCATTTTGTGGAGGGGAGAGGAATTTCTAGAGGTTTGGCAATTCGGTCAGAGGGAATTATTCATTTATCTTGGATGATCTGCAGTCCCAGGTAGCATACTTGTGCCTTTTGGTGGATCATGTGATATCTCTAGTCAGTCAAGGGATTTAGTAAAGTGATAGTGTCCTCTATACATGTTTCTTTGGAGGGGCTGCAGAGCAATAGTCCATCTACATATTGCAGAAGGTGACTGGGTGAAAGGCATAAGGTCAAAAGTCCCTTTTGTAGGGCCAGAGCAAAATAGTGTGGGCTGTCCCTAAACCTTTGGGGTAGGACTGTCCAGATGATTTGTCAGGCATTTAGCATGTTGGGGTTCTTCCAGGTGAAAGCAAATGGAGACTGAGAGTTGGGGTGCTGGGGAATAGTAAGAAATGTGTTTTTAAGGTCCAGAGCAGAGAAGTTGTTGGCCTGAGGAAGGATGGTGGATAAGAGGGTGTAGGGGTATCACCTCCTTAGACTTCTGTTCCTCCATTTTTGACAGGAGCTCACGGACATAAATGACCAGGAATGAGGAAGGCATGTTGAGATTTACATAGTCCATCAGCTGGTTCAGTCTGGCCAGGTCCAGATTCTGATAAAAATCCTCTGGCCATGTCTCAATCCACAGTCCTAGAAAGAACATTATGGTATTCTTTTCAAGTTCGTCCTCATCACTGTCAGGTTGGAAGGGTCCATACCTTTTCATTACCAACTCCAGCACCTCCCAAGTGGTGTTGTGCCTTGGGTAGATGTTAAGGAAGGTAGAGACAAACAGACAGTCCCCCTTCTGCACGGGAGTTGATGGGTAGCCCACCACATTCTTCACTTTGCCTCCACTCTGGGGCCTTGACCTGCAGAGCTCATGAAGTATCCAGGCCGCCTCCTCTTCATCCTGAGGAAAGACCAAGAAAGGAAGGTTTAGACTTTAAACTCTCCCAGACTGTTCAGTGATTTACTGCCGTACACTAAGGTGAAAAGGGTGATTTCCACATTGTTCACTCTCACACACACAGTGAGGGACGGGGCGGAGCAGGGGGATCAGAGAGATCCCGCTATGAACTGACCAGTGTCACCCGTGTGTCCCTATGGGAAAATGGCCAGAGGTTCTGGGCTCTGGGGTGCATCCAACGTCTCTGGAAGTTTCCAAAACACCCAGTCCTGGGTCTTCTGGGGTCTGAGCCTCCAGAAGGACAGAAACAGCAAGAGAACATCATTCTCAGTCTAGTGTCTCCAGACAGGTGAGGCAGTTCAGACTGCCACTGGCCTGTAGTTACCTGGTAACTGGGATTCCAAGTTCTCTTTTGACTGATGTCATAGACGTGAGGTCACATCCTGGGGTTCTCTGATCTCTGCCTGTTCCTCACAGAGGACTTTCTGCCTGGGCTGCTGACTGCCCTCCTTCCCCTTCCATGCTGACAAAGGGCACAGTTCTATAAGCATGGCCATGCCACCACACCCACCATGCTGAGCTGGGAAACACGGCTTCAGCAGCCCCTCAGCTCTGAGGAAACCAAGCTGGTTTCCAACCCACCCTGCCATACCTGTGTTCAGTACTGTTCAATTTTTCCTTTCACTTAGTTTAGCAGGCTGGGTCCCTCCTCTCTTTTTCCATGATTTCTAGTATTTTTTCCCACTTTACAGGTGGTTATGAGCCACCACGTGGGTGTTGAGACCTGAACCTGGGACCTTTGCAAGAGTAGTAAGCATATCTCATCATCTCTGTAGCCCCAATGTTGGTTGTCGTAAGCCAACTCGTGAGGCATTTTGTTGTGGAAGCAGTATCATATCGCCACAAAACTCAAGTATATTTAGAATCACATGAATTCTCATAGAAGCCTGCCAATGGTATTATTACTGGATAAAGATACTCATCACTAAATTTAAATGACAGTGACCCCATCCTCTGGGTTGCTGGGATTGTGTGGCTCTTGGCACCCCAAACCCAGGTAGACACCTCCATGCCTCCTCCTGTACTAGTTTGTTTCTTCATTGCTGTGACAAAATACCCTGACCAATACCAACTTGTGGAGGAAAGGGTTTATTTGGCTTACATCTCCCAGGTCACAGTTCATCGGGGAGCCCAAGGTCGGAACTCAGGGCAGGAACCTGGAGGCAGGAGTTGGAGCACAGGCCATGAAAGAATGTTCCTTACTGGCTTGCTCCACTGGCCCCTGCTCAGCCTGCTTTCTTATACAACACAGGACCACCTGCCCAGGGGTGGCACTACCCACAGTGGACTGGGCCCTCCCACATCACTCAACAATCAAGAAGATGCCCCACAGACATGGCCACAGGCCAGTCCAATGAAGGCAATTCCCCCACCCAACCCAGGTGTGTCAAGTTGACACCAAAGCTATCCACAACCCTCTCAAAAAATTTTCAACTGAGTATTTTTGTATAAACATTTCTTTTTTACCTAATATTTACTTTCATATAGACGAAAGATTAGTGGAAATAGAGAACAAGGTAACTTCCAAGAATCAGATGGAAAGGCATCACATGATATACAGTATAATAAATGGCATGAGTTGTTAGTTTTAAAGGTAGAAAGAAATGATCGTTTCAGATGGAGATTCTGTAGGGCTTTTGAAGAATTGTCTCTAAATGACTTTGACTTCACACATGAGAATGAATGTTTATTGTATACTTAGTGATTAGTTTGAAGTTACCTAAATGTCCAATAGTAATGAAATGTTTATATAGATTATGGTATATCTATTTGGTCACCCGAAAATGTTTATATTACATAATAAATATTACAAGACAGTACAGTATGATCCCAATTCTTTGTTTTTAAAATACACATTAGAAGTAATTGGAAGTAAATATATCAAAAATATTTTATTTCTGGATGAGTAGAATTGGTTTTTGTTGTTTTATATCTTACACTTCTCAAGTTTTTATTTTAGAATATTGCTTTATGGTCAAGGTTTTAAAAAGTATCTGAGGTTAACTGTTTTTAAGCTTTTATTATTATGATACCCAAAATGGAGGCGATGTTGTGTCTTGTCCATCCAGGCAGCCTTGTTTGGGACTGAGTTCGACTCCTGTGTTACACCCAGCTGCTGCCTTGTTCTCGTTGTAACAGAGTTTAAAAAGCACTCCCCAGCTTTGAGAGTAACTGCTGAACTGTCCTTTGTTTTGAACAGGTTGTTGGGGTGCCTGTTGGTTCTACCTTACCTTCCACAGTAAAGCAGGCTGTGGCAATCAGTAGTGGCCAAATCCTTGTTGCCAAAGCCAGCTCTTCGGTTGCCAAAGCGTTTGGTCCAAAGCAAGTTGTGACTCAAGGAGTTGCCAAAGCACTTGTGAGTGGAGGTGGAGGGACCATTGTTGCTCAGCCAGTACAGACTTTAACTAAGGCTCAGGTCACCACCACTGGCCCTCAGAAGAGTGGATCCCAGGGCTCAGGTAACTGATCCAAGTTGGGGACTGTTTCAATAGCATCTTTATATGGAATTTTAGTGTGGTTTTTTGTTGTTTTTTTGTTTTGTTTTGTTTTGTTTTGTTTTTTGGTATTGGGTTCTGACTAGGAAAGCCTCATAAGTTGGTGGTATCAGTTTCGTTTCATAGAATATTTTGTATAGAAATCTGAAAGTAGTTTGCTTTAAGTTTTATTATATAAACAGTCCCTGTGTGTGTATAAACATAGTAAGAAAGGTATTTCATTATTAAACCCTTCAGATCTAAAGAGTTACCCATGTTCTCCTGTAAGAGCAGCAAGTACTCTCAATCTCTGAGCCATCTTTCCAGTCCCTTTTTGTTTTGAGTTTTGGGAGGGGGGTTATATCCGTTTTGATTGCATGTGTGTAAGTGTACCACCTGTACCTGGTACCCAAGGAGCTGAGAAGAGGGTGTCAGATCCCCAGGAACTGGGGTTATCCACATCTTGTGAGCCACTTGGGAACCAAACCTAGGTCCCCCACAAGAATGGCAAGTGCTCTTAACCTCTGAGCCATCTGTCCAGCTCCTTTTTGGAGGTCTTGATGAGGCCAAAGGATTGTTGTAGTAAATTGGACTTGAGAAGAGAGAAACTAACCAATATTCAAAGTAGATATTTCAGAGGTGGTGCAGTGCTAGTGTTCATGTTGTGGTGTTAAAAGGAAGTGTATGGGGGGCTAGAGAGAGGGCTCATCAGTGAAAAGTGCTTGCTGCTCTTCCAAGAAGACCCAGGTTCAGTTCCCAGCACCTACATTAGAGGGCTTGCAACCACCTGTAACTCAAGCACCAGGGATCAGTTGCCCTTTGCTGGCATGTGTGGGTATTTGCATGTGCACACATGCACACAGACAAATAAGTAAAAAAATACATCTTTTTTTTTTTAAAAAGAGTGTTGAGCTGGGTGTAGTGGTACATGCCTTTAGTCCCAGTACCCAGGAGGCAGGGGCAGGTGGATCTCTGTGAGTTCATGGCCAGCCTGGTCTACATAGTGAGTTCCAGGCCAGCTGAGACTATATTGATGCCCTGTCTCAAAAAAAAAAGAGTACATAAGAGCCAGATGTAGTGATTCATACCTTTAATCCAGCACTGAGGCAGAGGATTCACAAGCTTGAAGCCAGCCTGGCCTACATAGTGAGACCTTGTCTCTAAAAAAGGGGATGGGGTTGGGTTAGGAAGATAGATTAGAAAAAATGCTCAGGGCTGGGGAAATGGCTCGATGGTAAAACACTTGCCACATAAGCCTGAGGACTGAAGTTGGGATCTCCAGAAGTAAGGCAAGCACGGGTGCTATCTGTAGTCCCGGTACCCAGAAGACAGACAGTGAATCCTCTGGGGCAAGCTAGCTGTTTAGACTAGTCAAAATCCCCAGGTCCAGCAGGACAGTCTGCCTCAATAAAGTAGAGAGCTGTAGTGGAGGGTAATCAACTTTTGACCTATAGAAGCAAATACCCATACATAACGTGTGTAACATGACACATAAATATGCAGAAACAAGAAAAGAAAGAAGTGATCTTTGGAATTTAGAAGAGTGAATAGCCAGAGAAATGAGTCATCTATGTTACTGCACAAGCAGCACACGCTAAACTGTCACAGCACTGGAGCCACAACTGCAGGTTTACCCACGAGAAGAACAGACAGTCCTGCACATGAAGAGTCAGACCGAGTCAGAAACTTATCTTTAGCAAATAAGGAAAATAACTCGGAGTTTGGTAAATGATTACAGAAAAGAGGGGGATATGGCAGAATAGCCAGACATGTGCTTCAGAGGAGCCAGACAGGGTTTTTCTCAGGAATAAGGTGGTGGTCTAAGAACCAAACAGCTAAAGAGTATAAGGCTTCCCTCCTAGACCTAGACCTTACATGTTAAGGTTAGCTCCTAACTGAGGGGCTGACAAGTGATCTTACGTTTCTGCTGCTGTGATAAAACACTTTTGATGGAGGCAACCTAAGCTCATACTCACAGGCCACCATTGCAGAGGTCCCAGCACCAGTAGTGTGAGACAGCTGGTCACATTGTGTCTGCAGTGGAGAAGCAGAGAGCAACAGATGAATGCCTACCCAGCTCCCTTTCTCTTGTCTTACACAATCCAGAATCCTCTGCCCAGGGAGTGGTCCCACCCACAATTAAGATGGGTCTTCCCACATCAGTTAACCTGAGCAAGAAAATTCCTTAGAGGTATACTCAGTGGCTTATCTTAACGGATTCCAGATCCAGTCAAGTTAGCAACCAAGATTAGCCATCATTTTGACGTTTAACACTACAGAAAGGTGACAATTTTAGGAGAGTATAATGATCACAGTAAGAACTCCAGAGGGCATGGTGAAAGTTAGGGGTAAACAGATCACAAATATCAACCTGACTTGGATGTGACCCCATATGAGGATGGATCACTAAGGGGATTTGTGCTTCTGGCCCTGGCTAAGGTGGGATGATAGAAGGTGGGGCTAGATCTGAAAAAAATAGAGGGACAGAACTCAGTTGTACTGCTGTAGTCCCTACTGTTGGGGTCAAGTACTGGGGGCTGAGGAGCCGTTCACTGTGACCAGCCTGTGTGCAGAAGTGTTCTTCCTTTCAGTGGCATTTTATTAGTTTTAAGTAACTGCAGAAATGAGAAAGAGTCTAAGTCCCCTTTAAGACTTGTATTAAGAGAAATGGGCTGGAGAGATGGCTCAGCAGTTAAGAGCACTCGCTGCTCTTGCAGAAGACCCAGGTTTGATTCCTAGCATCCACATGGCAGCTAACAGCCATCTGTAACTCCAGTTCCTGGGGATCCAACACCCTCTTCTCACCTCCTTGAACATTGCACGACAGGGGTGCACTCACATACATGCAGGCAATACACTCATACACATAAAATAAAATTAATTTAAAAAAAATCTTTAGGGGGCTGGAGAGATGACTCAGTGGTTAAGAACACTGGTTGTTCTTGCAGAAGACCCAGGTTTGAATCCCAGCATCCACTTGGCAGCTAACAACTGTCTGTAACTCCAGTTCCAGGGGATCCAATCCAACAGCCTCTTCTGTCCTCCATGGGCATTGCATGACACAGGTGCACTTACCTACATGCAGGCATAACACTCATACACATAAAATAAAAATAATAAATTTTTTTAAAAGACATCTTTTGAGAAATACAGCTACGTGTAGAGAATGATGGGTTTTGAATAAAACATGGATTATGGTTTCATGGTGTATGTGCTAGTTGGTGATTGTAGCATTTAAGTTCTTAGAGAGTGAGATAGGTTAGAAGTTCTTGTTTCATTTAAAGCAGCAAATCCTTCTCACATTCAGATTGACTGAAGAAGCCAGGTGAGGTAGAAAGCAGAAGGATCAGGAACTCAAGACCAGCCCCAACTACATGAGACCTACCTCTGCATAGAAAAATAAACAAATAAAATAGGGGTGGGACCCATAGATAGGGTTGTTATTTCATTAATTCTGTAAGCTACTGTGCTACAGTGTGAAGAGTCACTGTTATTACAGTAAAGGCCTGGGTGTAGCTAAGTGATAGAGTGTGCACTTAGCATGTTCAAGACCCTTCATTCAGTACTCAGTACCAGTAGTGATAAGCAGTAATAATGATAATGAAACATGGATATAAACTACAATTTTCTAGAGAATCATTATATAGGTTCAGCCTGTTTATGGACAACATCAAATAGTTTGTAGAAGGCTTTTGCAGTTTGCAAAATATTTAAAGAATATCAGCCATTAATATGTCTGGAAATGGATGAGTTTACTCTTTGTAGTGTCTTTAAATACAGATTTTATCGCTCCATGTTTTAATTTTCAAATGTTACCCATAGCTTCATTATCTTACTGTTTTTCTTCCTCTCACCCCTTATCTTTTTAGTAATGGCAACATTGCAGCTACCAGCCACTAATCTGTCCAACTTGGCAAATTTGCCTCCAGGCACCAAACTCTACCTTACCACGAACAGCAAGAACCCTTCAGGAAAAGGAAAACTGCTGCTGATCCCTCAAGGAGCCATCCTTCGAGCTACCAACAGTGCTAGTTAGTCCGTCATTAGATCTTTGGGGCCATGGATCTTGCGTATGTTCATTTTGTCCAGCTGAGGGGCAGTCTTTTACTGAGTTAGGAAGCATTTCTGTAATTCTGCTTGATGGTATAATGGTAGCATTTGTACAGGTGGATTTTAAACATATACACAAGTGGGCTTACAAGTCATAGTCTTAGGAGGTGACGCTATTATTGGGGCTTTTTTCTTCAGAGTTCAGAATTGGGAATGGGTCATGGGGAGGTCTGACTATTCAGACTGTTCTGAGGAAAACCCAGGGAGGGGGTCCTTCTACTTCCAGTGGTTAAAGGTGTGCTTCATCAGGAAGTGGGATGCCGTAGGATAGAATAAGAGCCAGTTGTCTCTGTTTACTATTTCTTTTTCATATTGTCTAGATTTAGAGGTGAAATGAGATATTATAGGTTCAACCTAAGTACATGTCTTAAAGCCCCAAGGAAATTTGTGTTTTATTTAGTTACATAAAACTTGCTTTGACAAAAAACAGTGTGGGTGATGTTGAAAAGGAAAGGCCAAAGTCTGAATAGGAAGAAGATGGTACATCAGTCAGGCTCATTAAGACGGACCTGCGTTGTCTACTGACAAAGTATTTTATTTATTTTTTGAGGGGGGAGGATCTTTTTGAGACAGAGTCTCCCTGTAGCCCCAGCTGGCCTGGAACTCACCATGTATGTAGACCAGCTGGCCAAAATCACAGAGATTTGCCTGCCTCCCCAAGTGCTAGGATTAAAGGCATGCACCACCATGCCCGGCTACTGACAAAGCATTTTAAATGTACCTGATCTCTGAGCTCAGAGACAAAACAGGGTTAGGTCTGGTTAGTATGTGGGTGGGAGAAATGAATGGCCCTTGCTCAAGTGCATTGTGTAAGCCACTAGCCATTCTGTTCACCTCTATAATGGGTCATCACCACTTGTTCTGGTATGTTTTCCTTATACCTAAGTATTTCAGTGTCAGAAAGATTGCAAGAAATGGGTAATCTTAAGTATTCTGCAGCTGAGCCAGAAAGCTCCTCTGATTTTTATGCTGTTGTCAGGATCAAAATAAATGTATTGGGAAGGGATAAGCTCCTGAAACAACAATCTCTGAATTGAGATGGGGACGTTTATTGACTGTATATTTAAGCCCAGGTATATCTTAAATATTATCTCATCACAATGAAAATAAAAGTCCATAGACTTTGAAGTGAAGATTGAAAACGAATTAGGACCTGAGAGCCAAAGGTAATGATTTGATTTAAAGCACTTGGCTAGACAAAATGTCAGCATTGGGTACTCGATCTCACACACTGAGTCAAAATGCAAATTCTTGGCTGTGCTCAGAGAGGAGCTACAATCAGCTCCCCTTCTGTTGAAAATACCAGTTAAGGGGGCTGGAGAGATGGCTCAGCGGTTAAGAGCACTGACTGCTCTTGCAGAGGACCTGGGTTCGATTCCCAGCACCCACATGGTGGCTACAAACCGTCCTTACCTCCAGTTCCAGGGGAATCCGAAGCCTTCTGACTTCTGTGGCATTGCACGACATGGGTGCGCTCACATACATGCAGGCAATACACTCGTACACATAAAATAAAAATAATAAATAAAATATTCTTTAAA